ATATATATATATATATATATATATATATATATGTATATATATATATATATATATATATATATATATATATATATATATATATATATGTGTGTGTGGATAAAATGAAACTTTTGAAATCCCACCGATTTCTATCCGATATTTATTTTTAATAATCTTTTTCGTTCCAACTTCGAGAATTTCTATTTCCGGTGTTTTTTGTAACAGAATTGAAGTTAGCTTTTCACTTCAAAAGAAATTGAAATTATATTTTTCCCCCAATGTTCTAATTCATATATGATGAGTCCAATTTCCACCCTTACATGAATACATATTGTTTACTTTGTTCAAGACTTGAGAATAGTTCTATCGTACTTCACAATTGCATATTTTCAAACAAGACTATGGGGGGTATACATTATTATAATACTTTATAGCTAGACAACCTAGACTTTGATAAGAAGCACCCTCCATTTACTATGGAAAGTTAGATGCTACATCTGATTATTTACACCGTATCGAATTTATTTGAACTGTAGATTTGATTAAATAACTACCAACTAATCAAATTCAAATTCACTCGGTATAAATAACCAGTAGCATCTAATTTCCCCATTAAATGTATTCCTATGACTAATACTTCCACAAAATCAATACTTCACCTAATAATTTTTCTATGTCTATATATTAGGTCTAGTTATTTAATCAAGGGCAAGAATCAGTGCTTTTCTTGAATATATTTACCAACTATAACATTGACTTGAACACACACACACACACACACACATTTTTCCTAAAATATTGCTGCTTATGGTTAAGACAATATTCAGTTTACAGGGCAATACATACAAGAAAACGGCACGAAAAAAACGACAAACATGGCTTCGTCGAAACATAAAAAAGAATATAACAAAAGATCTTATATAAAATAATCACACAATGATCAAAATTAATTAATGAATTAATTAACCACCAAAGTTGGATTTAATTCCATCAACAACACTTTTATCAACCTGAAAAGCCTTCGTAAGAACCTCATCGGGAACCGAAGGCCTCGATCCGAACAAAGTAAACGGAATAACAACGGCACCCGGCAAATGGCTATTAAAAGCCGTCAAAATAAGCGCCGACTCGTTGCCAACGTTCATCTGAAAGTGCACCAATCCCCTCGGAATCACAAACATCTCACCCTCGGTCAAATTCTTCGAGTAGAAAACATTCCCCGAGGTAATCATCCCCACGAGAAGCTTACCGCGCACCACCACCCCTGATTCTGTAGCCCGGGGGTGCAGGTGTGGAGGATTAATCCCCCCGGGGGCAATATCGACCCGGTTCATAGAGATGCCTAGTGTGTTTAGCCCCGGGAACGAAAGAACGTTGCCTTGGACCACACTGCTTCCGAAGGTGTTGTTTGTGTTGCCACCTCGGGCGAGCCCGCTGAAGAAGAAGTCTTCGGAGGTTACGTTGGGGGCCGCCTTGCATGGGAAGCCGTTTATCGAGGAAGCCGATTGTAAATCGGCTATGCCAAAGTCCTGTAATGGATCGGGGTCCGATGAGAGAGAAGGCGACGGAGAGAGAAGTATTAGGAGAAGGATCAATGGTGGAAAAGCCATTGATGAACTCATGATATTATTATTTGTGATGCAATGGAGGAGAGTTTATTGATGATTGATTTATAGGGATTTTTTATTTTTTAGTCTTTGTGGAAGAAATCAAATGAGAAATTATAAGATAAGGAAGTTGGTTTTGGAGTTGTTGGGAATTTTGAATTTTTGTTAAGTGATTGAGATTTTAGAATTAAGATATTTAACATGGACGAAGTCATAGTACTTGTGTTGGAAGTAAATATGGATATTTTAGATTTAGGGCACATTACGGTCAACCCCTGATGTAATGTTAAATGACGAAAATATCACTCCTTTAGCTGGTAATTTGACATTGTAAGAGTGGACGTGTAAGACAATACATAGTTGAGGGTGGTTATAATTATCCAAACAGGAGGGGGGTTTTCGTAATTTAACTTTAACTTAGGGCGGTGGCTGTAATTTGCCCTTAGATTTAACATGTATGACATGGGATGTAAGTTTCAAGATTTGAAAAGAAATTTGAAATTTCTTGTAGTTTGTGTGCACATATTGAGATTATGGAGAAAGTGAGGGGGCAAGGGTGAAAGTAGGCATGTGAATTGAACCAAATTACTCGATGGACGATGATCGATAAAGAATGAATGCTCGTTTGAGCACACGTGCTTGGTCTACAAGATATGAAGTTCGGCCAGAACTTGGCTCGATTAGAACGAAAATACACTCTTTGTTTCACAATATCTGTCATTTTTGAATAATTATTGGGTTCTATATTATCTGTCACTTTAGAACTTCAATGCTGGATTGATTACATGTTTTTCAAGTATGCCCTTATTAATTCTCCAACACTCTCTCCGCATTAACTAATAGTAAGCAAGGGTACTTTGGTCTAACAATGTATATTTTTCTAAAATCAGGACATATTTATTGAGTTTCGTAAGATTTGTGCAAATGTGAAAAACGTCCCCTATTTAGGAACAAATGAAGTAATAAAATATTAATACAAGAAAATTAACTGTGGAGCTATTCATCAGCTGAATTTGTGTTTGGTTCTATTGAAGCTCGTTTGAGCTCGAATCGATCGGATGACAGACAAATTAAGTTCGAATACGATCTTTAAAACTCGATGAATATTCAAAGAAGTTTTGAACAGTTACACCTCGACTCAATTCGTTTACACTCGTAAGGGTGATGGTATTCATTTTGTTGATAAAGTAAATGAAAATGACAATCACATGGGAAATTTCTTGCTAGCTGACTTGGACAAAACTGTTTATTAAAAAACAAAATCATAATAATTGAAGAAAATATTGAAGTTGACATTTTTAAATGTGACACAATATTGTTTGGCTTTTCATCCATCTGATTAGTTAAGAAATAAAATTGCCATATTTATATGGACTTGGTAAATTGTATAATTAGAAAATTATGCAAGAAAAACTACAAATATTTCTCGACACGCCTTACGACATATACCTACTAAAGCGCGATAAAATATCAGCTTCAAAGTTTTACATAGACGACTGAAAAGATTGGCCGCTCGTTTTAATTCACGCGGTTATTTCTCCGACCGGCTTATTATCGATCCACGCATTTCCATGTGGGACGGAAAAAGAGAACGAAAATAAAATAAAATAAAAGAAGAGATCTTTCAAAAAAGAAAAAATCATCTATATATATGCATCATAACAAAAGGCTCATTCATCTATGTCGTCCGATGATGATTGTACGGAGTGTCTAACTTTCCGTAGATGTTGAGCTATCTCCGTCAATAGTTTAGTTCCGTTTTCGCCTCGTTGCATCGTCATCGCAGCGTGCTGTAAGAAGCCACTATCTTCTTCAAGGGCTCTCAATCTCTCCTTAATCAAAGATACTTCTCTTGTAATAGTAGCCTTATTATCTTGTTTTCCTACGACATGAGAAAACATTAATACTTTTAAGTAATTAGTTTATTGCATTTAGTATACTCATGCATTATACATAATTACTAAAAATCTCTTTAGTGCATTTTTTTTAGCATACAACCCCCTAAATAATTCATTTTTAGGGGTAGTTTGATAATAAAATTGAATCATAGGGGTTTCTTTAGCAGTTCGAAATAACACAAGGGTATTAAATGCAATAAACCCCAATAGAAATATTTAGTTTTTAAGCATTGAAATACATCTTACCTTCATTTTCATGCATGATTGTTGATCCTTCATCCACATTCAATTTCTTCTCAAGATCATTCAAAACTCCTAGAAGATGAGACTTTTCGCCCTCGAAATCGAGCAACGACACTTCTTCGTGATTATTTCCGTCTTGGTAGTAGTAATTATCTTCATCCGCTACTTCGCAAATCTCGCCACCGATTTTATTGACGACGACCCCGTATTTCTCTCTATACACCTCGAGTTCGTACTCCAAAGCCGCCACGTCGTCGTCCCTCCTCGAGAGCTCGTCCCGCATGACTTGGATCGCCTCCTCGTCGTACTCCGCCTGTTCCTCCATCATCCTCTGGTACTGCAGTGCCTCCATTTGCACGGCCGCCTTCTCCGCCTGCAGACGAGTGATCATGGCCATGGCATTGTTGGCCGCCACGTTGGACGCGCTCCGCTCCTCGTCCAGCTCCATGTACAGGGCCATCAACGACTTGTTGTCCAAGCGGACCTGTTTCTTCAGACGGTTCAAGATTTCAAAATCCACCTCGTTTAGCGGATTGGAATTCGCCACGTCGTCGTCTTCGTTGTTGTTGGTAGTGGGGTCCCCGATCATGTCGCCGGCGGTGCCGCCTCTTTCGACGGAGAGTTTTCGGAGGCCGTTGTTGAGCCACACTCTAGGGCTCACCGGAGCGGAATTCAACGGCATCGGGAAGAATTTGTTCCTCCTCGCGAAAATCGGGGTTCTACAGGCGTCCTCGTTTATGTCCTTCGAGTACGGCAACGATGGCGCGTTTAGGGATTTGATAGCCTCTTTACCTATATATATAGTATGCATTTTATATATAAAGTTTATATCTCACAAAACTCATACTTTTAAACAAAAACAAAGTTTCGAAAAAAATTACGTCGTCTAAAAGATTATTTTTCATACTCACCGTGATTATATGCATTGCTCGAAGCATCAACCTCGGAAACATCCCGTCCCGTTTCGGACATAAACTTAAGCTCCGCGTACCTAGTCCGTGGCGACTCCACATTATTCCGTCCATTCGCCAACCACGACGCTCGTGGAGACGACACGGGCGCTTTCATCGACAAACTCCTAATGTATTTCGACGACAATTTCAATTTCACAATCTCCCCACAACACGAGCACCTCGGATCATCCTCATCATCACCACCACCACCGCCGCCATCCACCTTCTTCGACGCACTCGATTTCTTCCGATCCTCGTCGTCGACGAAGCAGTCGAAATCCTTGTGCAAAATCCCGACAAGGGACTTGTACTTGTCGCAGTCGGCATCTTTTTCTGTGGCGAACGAGAGGAGGCAACCCTGGCACATGTTGCGGATATCGGACAACTTGTCGTGGATGCGGCAATAGGCGAGGGAGGACACGTCCTTCTTGTGGGCCCCGCATATGGAGTCGTTGTAATAGAAGCTCGAGTTGCGCTTGACGAGGATGTGGTCGATCCTCGTGCAGAGTAGGCACGGGGTCTCGAGGCCGAAGAACTTTGCAAACTCGTTGGAGACGAACGCGATGAGACCGTCCGCGAATAAGAGGAGGATCATCGTCCATTCGAGGACCGCGAAGATTACGAATTGTGGGAATTTGCCGAGGTTTAATTGGTCGAGGAAGTTCTTGAATGATTTCCCCATGGCGGCATGTGCTTACTTATGAGTTATATATGATGATCAAGAAAAAAACACCACACACTGTGTGAAATGGAGATGGAGGGATGAATTTGTTTCCGTACGTTTTAGAGAGAGAGAAGCCAATAAGAACACTATATCATGTTCTCTCTCTCTATCTCTCTCTCTGTATCTCTTTGTTTCTCTCTCTCTCTCTCTCTGTGTTTCTCTTTCTCTTTCACACACACGCACACACAACGACACACACAGAGAGAGAAACTAATTAACTATCTCGTTTTGTGTCTTATGTTACTGTCTTGCTATGGATGTGTCTATAGGTAGGAGAGAGAAACAAGAGAGAAGAAGATTAAGAGAGTGGTTGCATGAATTAATTAAAGTGAAGGGTGGTGGTGTTCGTTTAGGATTGATGGTCGCTCCATTTTTACCTGAATTAACGGCCTACCGTTGACAATCAAAGGAAGATAAAATTAACCAAACGACGTCGTTTTGTAGGTCATTGATTTTATTTTTTTATTTTTTTATTTTGATATTGGGGTTCGAAAAATTAAAGATAATTACAATATTCGAAAGAAAAAAAAAAATTGACCTTGGTCAAACATTTACCCAAATATATTGGAAATTTATTTTTGACCGTAGTCAAACATTTACCACATCTTGTTAGCATATTCGGAAATTTGTTTTTGACTATTTGACCTTTAGTCAAATATTTACCCCATCTCGTAGCATATTCAAAATTTGTTTTGACCTTGGTCAAACATTTACCCCATCTTTGGTTAAGATATTGGAAATTTGTTATTGACCTTAGTCAAATAGTAACAATAATCTTCTCACATAAAATAGGTTACAACACAAGTACTACATAAAATTAGTTGTTCCTCACATAATGCACATTGTCAAAAGTCTTTCTCCATAACATATTAATACGTTTAAAATGCATAAACATATGCAAATCAAATAGTATATTATCTTTTCTAACCATTAAAATGCAATAAAATGTAGCATATTAGTAAGTACCAGAAACCGGTTAATATCCTCAATTTCAAGAAACGGAAAATGCTCATCACTTCAATCTCTTAAATATAAGGGACTACATTTGCCGACATGTACGGAGAAACACAACCCGGTGCCTGAAAAAAAAAAATAAAAGGGTCACACATCAAATTAAAATATGCAAGAAAGAGTAATAAAATGTTGAAAGAGATGATGTGTACCAGCAGTAGAGCAGTAGGAGTTTGAATAGATCCCATGAGTAATAGGTCCACATCTTCTAGAACCTTCTGTGGAACCGGAGTTAAAACATAGATTACCCCTTTGGAAGGGCCGTTTACAGCTCTCACAATCCCTTGTTGATAACAGATAAACGTAAAAAAAAAAAAAATCAGCTTTTGCACGCGATTTATGGATTAAATGTTACAAACAAACAGCGCAACGGATTTTGCATTATGGTATAAAGCTTAAAAAAAGTCGAGCACAAAGTTCGATTTACTAACCCAAACCGACACATTGAGGCCATTTCTCAGACACTGAACTGACTGCCAGTCCAACGATAGTTGCATTCAAACTGCCGAATATTTCAGACACCGGTACCTAGCAAAAAGATACTGTAATCTCAAGAAATAAACTTTTTTTTACACATGAATTTGTAGAAATAATATCAATAGTTGTAGTGAGCAAGAGAATATCCGAGCAGCCGAGGCTACCTGGCTGTGAAGGTGCTTAATTTCGACATTCGATATCTTAACTTCATAAGGATGGAGAGCACATAATTCACGAGTAAGTTCCTTCAGCGTGGAGATAGTCATATCGCTAGGTAAGCATTGTCTGAAGTAAGACATTAGACGCATATCTCGTAAAAGTCGTGCATCCTTTTGTACCAGCACCCTGAAAAAACGGAGTTTTTTTTATTACAGATATCAAATAAGATTCTTGATAAATAAAAAAAAGATAAAAAATCATACGATCTCTTTAAATGGTCCTGACGAGCAGCATTGATCTCGATGACGCACACAGAATCATTATTCACCTCATTTGACCAAAATGCCCCCCGAGGCAAGTTCTTGCTTTCAGAGGATATCCGAATCTTGACCACGTGTGTAGGAGACATATGTTTTAGCATGCCGACCAGTAGTTCATAGCCAATACCTAAAACACGACGAGGATAATAGTACATTGTGTACTACTACATGTTAAATTGTATCTGAAATTTAATTCTCTATTGAAGTTTGCAAAACCAAAGAGAAGGAACAACAATAAACGAACCTTTTACCCAGCCAGGGGTATTTATGACAAGTGGCAAGCTCGTAGTAGTACCCTGGAATTTCGTCTTGTTATCAGTGCAATATTCTTTCAGATAGTGGTCATAGAGGGCCGATATGTAAGACAAATAGATAACGGGGTCCCTTTTTGAGGAGATGTCGCCAAAGAAAAAGCATCTGAATAATAATCAGAAGGCAAATAGCTCAATCGAGGTTTATTCAATAAACTTGACAATATGAAATGGATAAACATAACAATTTCGAGAATATGATTCAACGGCATATCACAGACTTAAGCAATCTAATCGGAACACTCCACGCAAATTTACAACTCAATAAAGCATAGATATCAAAGCAATAGTGCACAATGCACATCTAACTGAAAAAGTTACCACGCAAATTTACATAATCAGTTGTACCTTATGCTTCTTCTAATTGTTCATGTTTGCGTGATAAAAAAAAAAGGGTTCGACACACAACGCAAAATAATAAAAATAAAATAAAAATATTCCGTACCTCTCGGGTGTTTTCAAGCATGGAATAGTCAAATCTACATATCGAAACATGAAAAACGTTATCGGAAAATAAAATCATTACAAAGCAAAAATATAAATCCCAAGAGTAACAAACAATGCAACAATCTTACTCAAAACAGCAAAAACAATGTACCTGGCGTTATCTTGTCGACAATAGTTAGTGATAGCAGACCAGGTGGAGTAAACTCCGTCTGCCCAACATCAGTGTCGAGGTACGCCACTTTTTTGTGCCTGAAATAAATAGCTCATAGTTATATGTGGTTACACACACACACACACACACACACACACATACACACACACACACACACACACTAAAACACTAATAGATATAATAGTGTTTAGTGTCACACGGAAAAACTACAATTCTTAGAGGAGTGAAAAACTCAAATAAAATAGATCGAACACCTACAAAAGATGGTTTTAACATATAAACCCTGTGAACAACTTTCATGATTTGTTCGATTTTCCATTTTTTCTATAAAGAAAGTGGCATTCATTAATATTAACAGCCATTACAACAAACGCACCCAAACGAATACCACTAGGCTAAACAAATCGGTTGTCGATTCAATAGTTCGATCAAACGATTAACTACAGACATATCAAATACAATGCTAGTTTAAAAAAGTTCGAATTTCGACAAGACAATTTCCCACACATCCAAAAATTCGAAATTCACCATAAATTAAAAAAAAAAAAAAAATTGAATGCCGTACCTCTGGAGAAGAACATTGAGTAGGTGACGAGAGAAGGTGGTTTTCCCGCTATTTTTCGGGCCACATACAAAAGCAATTGGCGAATCAACGGAGCAATTGGCTATGGCGTCGGCTGTGTTAGACCATTCGTCAGGTATGAAGATGTCTGGTGATGAACGATCGCTTTCTGAATCTGGCGCCATTTTCAGATGATCTTCTTCTTCTTCTTCTCTTCCTTTTCAATTTCAATCGGTCTGTGTGACATTTTTCAGTGTGTTTTAAAGCGTTTAAGAGTTGATGAAGCTTTGACATGCCGATGGCGTGTCTTCTGTAGTCTGTACTGTTACTTCTCTGTTTTTACGCCGTTGAAATATAAGCATTTTACACCCTTCAAATATATAATTAATTAGGCTTAATCCCACTTTGTACCCCTCAAATGCAGCTTTTTGTAGGGATGGCAATTTTTACCCGACCCGCGGGTATCCGCCCCGCCCCGCCCCCGAAATTTCCGGGTAATACCCGCCCCGTAAATAAATGGGGCGGGTACGGGTTCTAATTTTTCACCCGAAAACGGGTTCGGGGCGGGTGCGGGTTTGTATATACCCGCCCCGCAGACCCGCCCCGCATATATATATAATTTTATAATATCATTATAATATATTTAATATCTTGATTTAAAATTATTGTTTTCATTAGGCTTATTCAATTTTTTTTTTTTTATTATTTTTTTTAATTTTTTCTTAGCTTTACGGGTCTTTTGGCGGGGCGGGTACCCGCGGATTTTCCACGGGGCGGGTGCGGGTTGAGAAAATTTAAACCCGTTGCGGGGCGGGGCGGGGCGGGGGCGGGTTGAACGGGTTTGTTAACGGGGCGGGTGCGGGGAATGCAAAACCCGCCCCATGGCCATCCCTAGCTTTTTGCCACTTTGCACACTTGAAAAATAATAATAGCACTTTGCACCCTCAAAACACAATACATCATTCACATAGCATTGCAGCTTAAATTGAATAATAAAAGCAATTTTATTATTTAGATTTTAGAGTGCGGAATAACAAATTATGTTTTTTCTTTTCTTCAATCTTCAATCTAATTTCGGGTGCACAAAATGTGAAAAATAGAAATCACATGCGGAAGATTTTGGTATTTATATTTTTTTCTCCAAAACATCTAATTGCTTAGATTTTTTTTAATTTTCTAAATAAATTCTTTTATTTATGTCATTTTGAGTTTCTTGATATTTTTTTTTTATTAAATGTCTTCGGGTAGTTTAAACATCCTAAGGAGGTCTCGTTGAACAGTCATTGAACTACTAAGGAGGTCTCGATGAACCAATGCCTCTAGTTCAATCGGGACATATGAATCGAAGGGATCGTACTGTACGCTAACTATATCAAAAGGTTCTTGCATGCACTTCATTTGTATCTAGGGAATCATGACGCGTAGTTGCTAGACGTTAATCTTGATTCGTTGGGTGATTAAGGTGAAACGAGCTTCATCTTAATCGTAACTCTAAGGGACGAGTTTTGACCACAAAGGGTTGTGGGCCCACCTAAACCATCGAGGGTCACACTGCTCGTGCACATGAGATCTTTGAATAAACGGTCAAAGGTAAAAATGGTTTATCTTTGCATGATTGGAAGTCAATATGATTGGGTCCAACATCCATAATTTGGAATTATGAATGAGAATAAGAAAAGGAAAAGAATAGGCGAACATCTTAGTGGACTTTCTAAATCGGGAAGTTTCCAAATTTGGAAAGTGCATTGAATTAGGGTTTCCACTTTTGGATAGTTGGAAATCGAGAGTTGCCACTCGTAATGGCGTGGCATTATAATGATTCCGAAAATGTAAATGTTAAAATTTTCCGATCATCGAATTGAGAGAAACGAGCAAGTAAAAGAACTAACGAACTTAAGTTGTTGGGTCCGGTCCAACTTAAGCCCATTAGGGTTTTATGCAAGACACTATAAATACTTGATTATAGGTCTTGCACAAAACACAAATCACACACGAACTAAACCCTAGCCGCTCCCTCTCTCTCTCGGCCATCTTCTCCCGCGGCCACCACCGCCGTCGTCGCCACCAACTCGCCGGAATCGGCCACCCCTTGGCCGATTCTTTTGGTAATTCTTTCCTCATTTCTATTCTTCCGTTATTCTAACTACTTCGTGTCTAGTGCCACGTTTTAGTAGATCGAAGTATACGAGGTGAAATGCGAGAGGAGGAAGATCGAAGAATCAAAGAATCAAGGAGCAGTCACCGAGCCGACGATGCACGCGCCGCTCGAAGATAGCACGTTAACCACACGTGCCGCCCGAAGACAGCGCGTGAACCACACGCGCCGCCGTAGCTCGGATCATCGCCGTTGTTGTGTCGTCGTTGTTGCCCCGGATTGCACGGATTGGTTTCCGTTGTAATCTAGCTTTGCTTAGTGCGCCTACCTCACTCTTCAAGAGGTAAAGTTTCGAATCCATTGTCGTTTGATTCGATTACGTTTAAATTAATATATGTATGTTCGTCTTAGTAAGATAATTGTATGATTTTATGTGACTACATGAAATTATTTATTTACTGCGAGCATGATTATTTGATTTAAACGCGAGCATGCTAATTGATTTAATTTCGATTAAGTAATTAAGCATGTATGTTGTTTTTAATTTCGCTGGAAACGCAAAGGTACACAATTAATTGTTTTCAATTATCGGGCATGTGTTTATGTGTTTTAAATTCGTATAATTCGCATAAAATTTTTGTTTTCCGCTGCGTACACGTGTCCGATTCCCAACAGTACCCATGCCGGATGGATTGGTGGTAGAAGACTATTAGCGACCAAATTTACAAACATGAAATGATTGTTGTGCAATGTCACAACAATCATACATGCTAACTAACCACTGCCAAACATAGGAAGGTAAGTCATACTCCCTGCTTGAGTCAAAAGTACCACTAATGCACTGTATCTGGTAGCAATGGCCAATCCCATTTCATTCATGTCCATCCAATAAGCTTGTGGACAAGGCTCTGAGGTCCAGTCACACTTGCGTATGACCTCAACTTATCCAGTACTGCCAAACATCGTTGTGTACACATTAGCATGCTCGTATAACTCAATAAGCAATTCCCCTCTCACTTGCAGCCATCTTTCTTGATCCACGTACACGGCTTGACGAACGCACCGGTACCCACAGTTGCCATTCGCCATCACGTTAACATAATATTGAATAAGACGGACCATAAATCTGGGCACGGAAGAATAAAAGTCGATTCCTTCATGTACATGTATTGTAGGGGCAGCATATTCTTGTGTGGGAATACGAGAACCACGACCTTTCATCTTCGATTAAGGCGTTCCATCAGTGATTCTCTCAACCTTTGCTTTAGGAATATTTGCACCAGATGAGGTTTGGCGACCCTTGGAACCACAAAACGACTTAATTGTCTCCTCATCAATATGATACTGCCATCCGGAAGGGTTTCTCTTTGTCGAGTTATTCTTTGGTCGTCCTTTGGTCTTAACAAATGATGGCTTGGACAGATGCGACGTAGACGGATAAATGATGCCACACAATGAGGCCACGTAATTTATCTTACTCGTGTAATTCATCTTCTTCAAATTGCAATTTAGGTCATCAATCTATCTATCCACAATCTCCTCGCGGTTCACTTGATACTCAGGTAGCTCCCAAAGGCTCAACTGCCATGGTGCTCCAGAATGGATGCAAGTCTAAAATGACGAACGTGTCATTATCTTCCATTTCCTGTACAATTTTGCACGCGCATGGGAGCCCATGAGTATTCCACAGTTAGTGTATGCATATACTCGGATCTTGCATCGCCGGGGACTCCATCTCTTGATCCAGTTTCTCTAATGCCAGATGCGTAACATAACAAATCAAACCCTGAAAACACCGTCATGCTGCATTATGCTTCCTTATCTTGGATGATAATGAAAAATCGCACTTCAGCTGACTAATTTGGATATAAACTTGATCCCGAAGTTGGCCTTGCACATTATCCAGACCTCCGGTCGAAGCATTTAACCAACCCTTCGCAGAAAAATGAACACTCTCCACCCTATCCAATTACAACAACAATCAAAGTATACAAACGACAATCAAATTACAAAATAAATATTATTTTTATATAATATATTTTATCATTTAAATAACTAAAACATGTAATACCTGTTGCTGCTCGTGTTGCCAAAATGATACACATTGCGAGTATAGGCTCGAACAAACTTCTCCTTGTATATCAACCACGTATCATTCAAATATTGTATCAGTCTAGGATATCTTGCATACCGTCCAACAATTTCATTGTAATTGTAATGATACTCTTCTTCGGTTTCTGATTTCACCAGCTTAGCCCACAACCCACGTCGGAATATTAGACCTTGGTCTTTGTTGCCTCCCATAAATTTCGTCGCATTTGCCTCAACATTTATGTTTATATGGAACATACACAACATATGATATGAAAATGGGAAGACATTTGGCAGTGCTTTCAAAAGACCCAACTCCCTGTCTGTCAAGATCGCATCAGGTTCGACACCATCTAGCAACTCTTTCAAACAATTCAAAGTCTACTCGTAGGTGTTTGCATCTTCATGCGACATAAATGCAACAACAATTGTAAAATTCCTCCCAACTGGAGTTATCCCAATTATTTCCAAAAGAGGTATTCCATACCTACAACAATGTTGTTTTTACATATTTAAACAATACAATACGTTAAAACACAATAATCATAATTTAAACAATCGTAACTTACAATTGGTTTTGTATGTGCATTCCATCAATATAACATACGGGAACATCCATAGTAACTTAATAGATTCGGGACATGCAAACATAATATCTGTAATCGTGTTGCTCGTTTCACTATCGACGTGATGCCAATATCGATACTCGCCTTGTTGAATGTTATGCATCGTAAACTGAATAACAGTCATGCCCTACATTTCCTCAGATTTAATCTTGGCTAACTCATTGTAAACATGCTTCATAGAGGTTTTGTATCGTCGGATCATCTTTCCTCAATCTATCCATGATTAGCATTAGCTTCACGTGAGAATTTCGCAATTCTTTAATTCTTGCTTTCTGTTGTGGAGTTATACGACTAGTCGTACCTTGTCCGTGAGGAAACAAAGCCGGACGATGAGTATGCCTGCCATCGCTGACAGTTGATAAGTGTTCATTTTGCATGATTTTCACTTATCAATTCTTCGAGTTTTGGTCTTCGTTCGTCCGAGTTTTCGGCTTTATTTGTATATATTATGTCGTTTTTATTTTATTTCTATTTTAGGTAAAGAGAAGTTATTTTTTCCGATTCGAAACGA